AAAAAAAAAAAAAAAAAAAAAAAAAAAAAAAAAAAAAAAAAAAAAAAAAAAAAAAAATCGCATTTTTCAGCTCAAAAAAACTGAAAAAATCCTTTCATTTAGGAATCTTGACTTTCCAAAGGTTTGGGGAAAAATGATGGTCATTTTCGGCTTTAGAGGCAAAAATTGAGTACAAATAAGTCCACCTGATGCCTGAGAAAAAAAATTCCCCTCCTTTCTAATGCAAACCAATCAGATGAGTTTGACATGGAGTTATATGGGCGGAGAGGAGCACTAGTCCGGAAAGACCTCGATATTAGGAACAGAGAGGAGACTTTAATAGGCATCCAATGCACAAATATCTGTGAAAATTTGGCTGCTGAATCCGAAAATGACCTCAGTTTTTTCCATCATGCAGATTTTCCAGTTTGATTTTTCTCCGGAGAAGTTTGAAAGTGGGTTATTTAAAATCAGCGATTTTGCCCTACGCTTGGATTTTGCCCGGATGGAATATGTTATTCCCTATCACGGGACACGCCTTTTTCCGGCATTGGCAAGTTCACCCGAAATTTTTCCCGTGCGCTACAGTGTTGCCAAGTTGAAAACAGGCAAATTCCGTAAGTGGCATTAAAATTGAGGTATGAAGTTGCGATTTTGACGAAAATTCTCTAAAAATTGCGCACTTTTAGGATATGACCATCAGTGGCGTGGCGTGACTATTTCCGGTAGGCGTTCGGTAGGAGTGTTAACTTTAGGGGGGGGGGAGGTCAGAGGGGTTCACTCTCCTCCCTCAGAGGGGATAAAAATCGAAAAATTGGCAACAATGCATGTTAAAGTTAATGCGACATTAAAAACATGGTCATATCCTAAAAGTGCGCAATTTTTAGAGAATTTTCGTCAAAACCGCAACTTCATACCTCAATTTTAATGCCACTTACGGAATTTGCCTGTTTTCAACTTGGCAACACTGTAGCGCACGGGAAAAATTTCGGGTGAACTTGCCAATGCCGGAAAAAGGCGTGTCTTGTGATAGGGAATAACATATCCAATCCAGGCAAAATCCAAGGGTTGGGCAAATTCGCCGATTTTGAATAACCCTCTTTAGGGAAAATTCCAATTTGTCTGGGGAAAATCGACCTGACCCAGCAGAAGGGAGGTCATTTTCGTATTCAGCGCTAAACATCTACCCTGAGGCAGTTGATAGTTACAATGCAAATTTACCCATATTTCCCAGTATTATTTAGTGACTTCCAAAGAGGGTGATCAATGATCATAGATTCTATTACCATGTAGGACAGATAGGTTTTTGGAATTTTCTCAATTCAGGGTCTGTAAAAATGTTCAGTATTACTGCCTCACACACTATTTTTTAGTTAATTAAATCCCATACGGTCATGTTTGCTAATGGTGCATCATTAAAAATAAATATTTCTATCCAATTGTGGCATACGCTGGAATAACCACCTATACGCGTATTAGTGGTTTTCTTGGAGATTGGTCCGTTCAAACTATTGTATCCTTGGGTATCACTGGTAGTGACTGAAAGTCGATCCCTTAATTACGCAGCTCAAGAATCCAATATTAGTGAAGTGAAGTCAGACCGGTTGGTGGGTCTGTGGAATAATCACCTATATGCATATCGGTTTGTCTCACATTTATCAACGTGATAATGCGCTGTATCAGTGTCTCAGGACTGTGACTGCACCAGGTGTACTTGGCGATAGTTTTCCAAACTGATACTTCCAAGTTTTGAGAAGACTGATTTTTGAGTTCCTATTTTCCTTAATTTTGTCTTCGATTGGTGTCTTGTTATAGTTTTTATCATCGTTCATGGCCAAAATTGAAAGTTTTTCTATGTTTTTTATCTCCATTACATCATACAGGGTGTCCCAAAAGTCCGTACCCCCCCCCTCTTAGCTTTTGAACTGTTAGAGATAGAAAAACGGAACTTTGGCAATGTTTCTATCTTAAAGGGGTCCATCTTCTAGGGGGGTCAAAATTTTTGTCCTCCCCTCAGGGGAGGGGGGGGCGCGGGGGCCCCCAACTTTTTTTTTCAAATGGTAACCCCTATCTTGTGATACATCATTAGAAAGAGCATAAAAAACTAAGAATTTTGGCGCAAACCGCAAATCAATATCTTAATTTTTGACCGAGTTATGATAGGTCAAAGGTCAAATTTGACCTACTTTCAAAAAATCATATCTCCGGTTCAAATTATCGTAAAGAAAAAAATAAAACGGGAAAATTTACCAAATTGTAAGCACTTTCACGTAAAAATCACGGAAATTACTTCAAACTAATTTTAAGAGGGGTTTCGGACCCCCAAATACGTCATTTTAAAGGTCATACGATATTCTCGCGAAATGAGCCAATTTCCCCTTACTTTTCCTCAACATTATCTTAGTAAGTTCAAAAATAGTTCAACATTGCGTTTTCTAGACCCTAAATTCCGAGCAAAGTTTTTAAAAAAAATGAAATTTAAATGGTTGGATTAAATCACCTTAAATTTCGTTTTTTGAACTTTGCTCGAAATTTGGGGACTTGAAAACGCAATGATGAACTAATTTTGAACTTACTAAGATAATGTTGAGGAAAAATAAGGGGAAATTGGCTCATTTCGCGAGAATATCGTATGACCTTTAAAATGACGTATTTGGGGGTCCGAAACCCCTCTTAAAATTAGTTTGAAGTAATTTCCGTGATTTTTACGTGAAAGTGCTTACAATTTGGTAAATTTTCCCGTTTTATTTTTTTCTTTACGATAATTTGAACCGGAGATATGATTTTTTGAAAGTAGGTCAAATTTGACCTTTGACCTATCATAACTCGGTCAAAAATTAAGATATTGATTTGCGGTTTGCGCCAAAATTCTTAGTTTTTTATGCTCTTTCTAATGATGTATCACAAGATAGGGGTTACCATTTGAAAAAAAAAGTTGGGGGCCCCCGCCCCCCCCCCTCCCCTGAGGGGAGGACAAAAATTTTGACCCCCCTAGAAGATGGACCCCTTTAAGATAGAAACATTGCCAAAGTTCCGTTTTTCTATCTCTAACAGTTCAAAAGCTAAGGGGGGGGGGGGTACGGACTTTTGGGACACCCTGTATAATGAGTCACTAAGCATCAATCGTGTTTCTTAATAAACCATTCAGCCATTTTACCATGAGATTAGATGTTCTATGGAGTAACCACCTATAACAACCTTCTTTAAACTGTCAATTTTATAGTGAAAACTAAAATATTTCCAAAAACTGCATGATGCGTCGTTTAAGAGATTCTATGAATTACGAAAAAATGCTTATGCAGTTTTCCTACCGCAAAACCCTAGCAACGCATTTCAGAATCAAACCTATAAATGCGATTTTCTCAAAACTATGTTTTCAGCTATAGATGGTTATTCCAGCTAACGCCTCAATTCAATTCCTTAAATTGAACTTCGGGGTAAAAAGCAGATTTCCCAAGGGTGATGAAATCATACCCTTTGGAATTAACCATCTCTTCAATAGAACTACACTGAGTGTTAGTCCAGTGCAATGCAGTGCAAACTAGTCATTCGGCCGCTATTGAATAACGTAAGACAAACCTGGGCCAATTTTTCAGAAAATAATGGATAAAGCCTAAAATGTATCTGGACAAAATATTATAAATTAAAATATTATTCTTCTTTGAAAATGAAGGTACAACAAGATTTCTGACAATGCAAGACTACTCTCGACTCTCCTCTCCCCTTCAAAACCTTGTGAGGCAAGCTCTGACACCCACCCCTAAAATAACTTTAAGTAATATGTACTTAAACGGCCCCTTCTGGCTACTGGCACTGGCAGAGCAAGAAGGCATTGATAGGTAATTCAACAGCAAGTTCAAATATAATACATTCCACAGATTAAAAGAAAAATTTGTACCAATGCAGCTAGCTGTTCAGCCGTGACATAATCCTCATCTGAGGCGACACTGTCATAGAGAGGCTCATCGTCCGACCAATCTTGCTTTCGTTTTAGAGGTTTGATAGAGAGGTTTTCACGAGGACTCTGCCTTCGCTTTGCATCCAGAAGTACGTCAATCACCAGTGAGATGAATTCCCGACCATTGAAGCGGGCTAGTTTCTGCCGTCCTTGATTTCGCATTGTAGATAATTCTGGGTTCACAGGAAGGAATGGTACCGAGGCAGCCTGCAAAAATAGACAGTGAAATAGAAAATAACTTTGTCATGTTGACAGTGCCATATAGAATTGTGATAACTATTGATGAGGATCGAGTAAATTCGCTATTTAACTCAAAAAAAAAAAAATCCTTTTGGTGAGGAAAAACCTTGCCCAACTCGCAAGAGGTTCTGACACAATGACTTTAAAATAGAAATGTTGAAAATCAGCGAAAAAAGTTCCTTATGTATAGGTTAAAATATTACAGCACAGGTGAAAAGTAAGTACAGAGTGATTGTAAGAAGACATTTTTCATTTGCAGCTGTTGCTTGATTGTCAATTATGGATCTCTTAGGATAGTTGAAATTTAAAACTAGACGAGCCCTCCAGAGCAAGACAATCTCGTTCCTGTTTTCATTATACACGTTGTCATTCAAAAGTTATTATTAGATTTGAAAAATAGTGGTAGTTGTTATTATTAAGATAATAAATACAGAAACTATAATTAAGTTATTTGATTAGATTACTATTATCGCTACAAGAATTTCTTTTGAATAAAACCTCGATAAAAAGGGAAGAGTACACAAAAGTATGTTCGCTGTGTTAAACGAGACTTTGGTTATTTTTTTTTTTTTGTTGAAATTATAGTAATTTATTGATTCTTTTTACATATTTGAAATATAGTCAACAGTGACTATACTCGAAAATAGGAAGAAAAGTGCAGTAAAGATACAATTTGTGCAGTTATTTATAAATGAACATGGATCCTAAACCTAGTAATTACTAATTTAAGTTATTTACTATTTATCTTTATGTTACGTACAATTAGTATTATGGTTATGATAATCTAATTTTACGGTATACCATTACTATTCCCGGAACCATCGTCAGAGATACTACATCGGGATTTAAGATTGATTGGGCCATTATTTCCATTTAGAGCGTTATTCTTTTGGATTAATATATTCTTGATAAATGTAAATGTGCAATTCCAATTATATTTATTATCTAACATTATATTCACAATATTTTCTGGTGTTATCTTATGTCCTAGTGTCTTTTCTAAATCAGATCTGTCTTTGTTCCAGGTAGGACACTCAAAGAAGGTATGTCTAGGAGTATCAATTGCACCAATATTGCAACATGGGTACACAGGGGAATCGCGTAAGTGGAATCTATGGAGATACTGTGCGTAATAGCCATGTCCAGATAGAAATTGGGATAGGTAGAAGTCAACTGTACCATGCTCCCTGTATGACCACTCTGCAACATTTGAAATTAGAATTCTTGCCCAATTACTTTGCTGGTTGTTATTTAACCTTCCTTCCCATTTATTTAATATATCTGTTCTAATTTCGCCCAGATCTTCTTCTTTGAGCATCCTCCTTAATTTCTCTTCGAAAAAGAGATCAGCCGGAGGAATTGCTGAAATTAGATCCAATGATAAATCAGACACTGTTCTGTATGCACATATGAGAGATGTTTTAATAGGTCTAATCGTTTGTCTTAATTTATTTATGTTTTTCTTTGACTTAAGAGCGGGGGCCCAAATCTGAATACCATATGAGATAATAGAGATTACAGAATTAAAGAATAGGAGTCTTTTATAAAACGAAGGGCCTTTTGTGTTTGGCATTATACTCCTTAACATGTTATTGACTTTTTTTGCTTTTTCACAAACATTTGTGACATATGTGCTCATACATAAGTTCTTAGTTATTGTTATTCCTATATGTTTCATTGAGGAAACTGGATCGATTTCATCTTTATCTATTCTAATTTTTGCATTTTGTCTATCTTTTTTCTTTCCAGTGATAATGATACTCTCAGATTTCTTTGTCTCTATTTTAAGGTATTTTTTCTCTAATTCTATTTTGAGTTTCGTTGTGATTTTATAAGAGTCTTTTTTCAAGGATTCTTTATCATAGCATTGTAGTATAATTAAGAGGTCATCTGCATATGCAATTTTCTCAGATTTGGGGTCCGTTTTCATTCTTACAATATTGTCAAAGGTTATATTCCATAATAGTGGTGATAAAACTCCCCCCTGACAACATCCACTGTTGATGCCAAAGATACAGCCTTTGCATTGGATTATGCGGTCCGACAAATATCCTTTAATAGTCTCAACCAGGTACGTTGGTATCCCTTTTGCTTCAAGAGCATTAATGATATGGACCCAATTGAGACCATTGAAGGCATTCTTAATGTCTAATCCCAATACCGCTAAAAGTTTTCTTCTATGATAGGGTTCTCTCATATTTTTTTCATATATATCTCTCAATTTTCTAAGAGCATCAAAAGTCGACCGACCTTTTCTAAATCCAAATTGGTCAGGGGAGAGAACCATACTCTCCATTATTCGACAAGATATAATACATTCATATATTTTATTAATACTATTTAATAAACATATGGGCCTAAATTTCTGGTTTTCTGGATCTTCACCTTTAGGAATCAGAACTAAGTTTGCAACTTTCCAGTTTTCTGGATAGTTTCCTCTGGATAATAGATTATTACACATCTTTGTGAATTCCTTAATGTTAGTATTTACAAATATTTTAATTAAGATTGGGTCAAATTAATCGGGACCAGGTGCTTTTCCTGTTTTTAGTCTAGAAGATGCTCTTCTCATTTCTTCTTCTGCGATAGTAGGAATTTTTTCCTTTTCAAAATATTTAGGAGTCCATTTAGTTTCTCCATGATCTGGGAACAGATCGTAAACTGTCTGATACAATTCTTCTGTTGACAGTGAAGATTCGTAGTATCTACTGGGGTTTTTGATTCTTCTCCTTATAATTTGGTATGCGTTACCCCAAGGATCCTTTTCAAGCTAATTTATCTGTGAGAGCCAGCTTATATATATATAGTCGCTTTACAACGCACTCTGGCGTTCTACGACACCCAAACGCCACATATGCCTGTCTTCCCAGAGGTTCTCGGGCAACTGACACCTTAACATCTCTTCGTCAACGCCCTGCCGCCAACCCTTTACGGGACGTCCCCGTCGCCTCTTCCCAGGTGGTACTCAATCCAAAACTTGTTTGGGCAACCTCTCTTCCGACATTCTTTGCACATGTCCATACCAGCATAACTGCCTGGACATGACGTCGTGCACGATATCTTTCTCAACCTTCATCACCTGGCGAATTCTCTCATTACGGACACGGTCCCGTCTCGAAATGCCGGCAGATCGCCGCCAAAAATCCATTCCAGTTGCCCTCAACATTTCTTGAGTTCTTTTCGTCAAAGGCCACACTTCACTACCATAGAGCACGATACTTTTAACGATGGCGTCATATATCCGGTGCTTGTTTGCCTTTGAGATGCTCTGATCCCAGAGCACCCCGTTCAGCATCGCGATGGCTCTCCTGCCCTGGATGATCCTGTCCTTAATTGCTCTATCCATCCTTCCATCCTGATCGAGCCAAACACCGAGATACTTATACTCGTCACACTCTTCGATGCGCCGCCCATCCTCAAGCTCTATGCTTTGCCGTTGATGCGCTGCTCCCACGACCAGCTTCTCTGTCTTGGACACACTAACGTCCATGCCCCATTTCCGATATTCTTCGACCAACTTCCGTGTCATGTAATCTGCATCTTCCTCATCTTGAGCTACAACGATCTGGTCATCGGCAAAGCATAGAGTATAAAGGATCTGCCCATCAAGGAGTGGAACGCCCATTCCCGCAACCTTATTTTTCCATTCCTTTAACACGTGCTCTAGGTATACCTTAAATAGTGTTGGTGACAAACAACAGCCTTGTTTTAGCCCTTTTGTGACGAAAAAACCTCCGGACAACTCTCCACGACATTTAATTTTGGCTATCGTCCCGTTATAAAATGATTTAATTGCCCCCACAAGTCCTTTGCTAAAACCCCTTTTTTCCAAGGCTTCCCAAAGCTTCACTAACGGCACGCTGTCATAAGCTTTCTGAAGATCCACAAACACCAAGTGCAGCTCCTGGCTGACCGCCCTTTTCTTCTCGATGACCTGGGTAATGGTGAACAAATGGTCGACGGTAGACCTACCGGCTCTAAAACCAGCCTGTTCTTCGGCTTCCTGGCCGCTCCAAACCTCTTCGACCTTTGCTTTGAGAATTTTACCGTAGACCTCGCTCAAGGTTCCTGTGACCGATATACCTCTGTAGTTGTCGCAATCTTGCTTACTACCTTTCTTATGACTGGGAGTAATCCAAGATTCCTTCCAATCCTTTGGTATTTTGGAACCATGCAAACAGTCTTGCATGAGTTTCCTCAGATGTTCAAATAGTTTACCGGTGCCACATTTTATCAACTCCGCTGGTATACCCCCAGGTCCAGGAGCTCTGCGAGTTTTCAACTCCCTCACAGCCTTCACTACATCTTGGAGCTGGATCTCCACGTTGGAATCTTCTTTAGTGCTTATGACTCCGCCTTGAAACTCGGGTCGCCTCTCCGTTAATAAATCTTTAAAATAGTCCTCCATCTTGTCAATTGGTATCGGAGATATGATGTCGCGCATTTTATTCCGTCGCAACCCTTTGATCACTTTCCAGCCTTCCATACTTTTCCGGCCTCCAAGGTAGGTATTTATCTTCATACAGCTTTCTTCCCAAGCCTCATTCTTCTTCCGAGTGGTTACCCGACGGACTCTTGCTTGAGCCTGTCTGTACACGATTTTATCATCCAACTTTTGGGAAGAGAGAAACTGATGATACCTATTCCTTTTCACATTTATTTCCTCCTCTACCTCCGCATCCCACCAGTACGGATTTCTGTTATCATTTTTTTGATCAGAAACCCCCAGGGCCTCCGCTGCCGCCGAGTGAACGCAATTCTTAATAAATTCATACCGCTCTTCCGTACTGCCATCGCACGCATCTCCTAACTTTTCATCCAGGCGCTTTGCGTACAGAGCCTTGACACTCGGGTGCTTTAGGCTATCGATGTTATGAACTTGATGTACGCGTTGTCGCTCCGGTTGTTGATTGTCGCCTTGGTCGTTCTGCGACACACGAGCGGGAAAGGCTACATCCGCTCTGAGG